GTGTGTGTGTGTGTGTGTGTGTGTGTGTGTGTGTGTGTGTGTGTGTGTAGATCACTTCAGAGGCAAATTCTTGTAAAGATTTTTAAATTTCTTACTTACAAAAAAAACTCTTGGCAAAAAAACATTTTTTCAACAACGTTTTCTAGTTCTTAGTGTCTGTTTTCTCCTGAAGAAGGGAAACCTAAACTTACCTAAATTAAAATTTTCATTTTGATCAAAAAAAAGACATTTTTTACCCAAAAAAGTATACCTGGGAAGAAGCAGAAGGGCTGAGCCCTTCTTGAGACCCAGGGCTTGGAAGCATTGTGCTACATGTGGATGGGAGTACATGAGAAACAAAGTGGGTGGCATGGCTTGCTCTTGACCGGTGCACGCATCCTCCTCATCTCCCCATTCTCTCTCCTTCCTCTGCAGAAAGAGCGAGAGAACGGCTCCAACCTGGCATTCATGTTCCGGCTCCCGTTTGCCGCCGGCAGGGTGTTCAGTATCAGCATGTTGGATACGCTGCTCTACCAGGTCAGGATACGCTGCTCTACCAGGTTTTGTTGCTGCGAATGCTTTGAAAGGTGAAGCGGTTGAGTGGGCCATACAGCCGTTCAAGCAGCCGTAGAGCTACCCTGGAGCATAAGATGCCTTTGCTGTATTTCTGTCTATACAAGGCACAGTGCCCCCCTCCGAGAAAGACCTGCAGGTCCAAGCATCCCAGTACTGGCCTTCTCCTTCCTAGCAAGGGGGGCATCTATTGCCACCATCAATCTCTGAGCTCCACATGTGCTCTTTGTGGGCCAATGTTTCCTCCTCTAAGACTGTCTGACTTCCCCCACGATTCTGCGTATGGTTCGTGTCTAACTTAGGGAGCTATCATCCACTTGGATGCATTGCTTGCTCCATATTGTGCTCTTGCTGCATTGCTTTTGAGGGCATATTCTGTAGCTTTGCTAGCCATGTTTGTCTCCCATGTTGTAGAGAAGAATAATTCTTATTAATAATAAGCTTGATATAGCAGCACTGTAGCAAATGCATACATGAACCTCAGCTCCGTGCATCATTTTCCCTTGGGAGAGGAGGAGAAGGAAAGAGCCATACAGACTAGAGTAGGTTGCTTAATGCATCTCAGGACAGTGCCCAGGTATCTTGGTGATGGGCAGTTTTAAGAACTGAAATGAAGGGAACAGAATGGATCCACTGCTTTTTTCCCCCTAAATGACCCAGACATTTGCAAATCAAGATAAATGATTATAACAAAACAAATGAGCCTTCTCTTGGTCTGTCTGACTCCCCCTATCCCTGTCCTTCCAGTCCTTCGTGAAGGACTACATGATCACCATCACAAGGCTGCTGCTGGGCCTCGACACCACGCCAGGCTCAGGCTACCTCTGTGCGGTAAGTGCTGATTTCACCCTGTTGCACACTGTGGTTACTCGAGATAGTGGGTTTGCTCACACATCCAAACCTTACGGTCATTTGTGGGGATTAGATCTGGGACATCCACCAAACAGGCCTCCCAGGACACAGTCCTAACGGCCTCCTTGTTTGTCCTTGGGTGTATTGCAGCCGCCATGGGGAGTCTCCAGAAGAAGCAGAGATCACACAGGCTAGGGGCTTGGACACATGACATATAAACATCAATATAATTTAGGAGCCTCATCAAGGGGCAGTTACATAATGTCGAGCCCTACCTTTGGAAAAAATATAATGGGGAGGAAAACTGCACTGGTGCAAGAGATGCAAGTGCAGAGCTATTCTGGGATAGTTGTTTGCTGTTGGTGTGCAGGCCCTTATCTGCTGCCCTTCACGTTGGTGCTCTCCCAGAATAGCTGGGCGTCCTTCTGCTCAGACCGTGGATGCAATTTATATCAGTGTCCCAAAGCCAGAGTAAATTGCAGTCGTGCAAGTGTCTGGTGTCCAGGGCCAAGGCCTGTGTAGTGTTTCCTCTGTGTCACCTGCACTAAGTGCTAATGCTAGAGGTTAAGTTTATAACAGTACCCCCACCTGAGATATTTGGATAGGAACCAAGACCTCCAGCCCCTGGGTCCAGACACCTTGGAGCCCTGCAGAGGTTCAGATCCATATCCAAACTGCAGCCACTCCATCCTGCCCTGCTGCTGACTCCTGTTTGGGGCCAATACGTAGATGACTGTTTGCAGTGCAGTCATCTACATATTGGCCCCAGTAGTGTTATCTAAGTGTTATATTATTTTTTCTGCTCCTGGCCAGATGAAGATCACTGAAGATGACCTGTGGATCCGGACATACGGCCGTCTCTTCCAGAAGCTCTGCTCTTCCAGTGCAGAGATTCCCATTGGGATCTACAGGACCGAATCACACATGTTTGCAACCTCCGAGGTGAGGAAGGGCCACAGCTTGTTGAAGAGCTTCTGGGGCAGTAAGGTCCATCAGGCTGGCCAGGTCCCCTATCACTGGGAGTTCAGAGCCACCGATGAACTGCACTGTTGTAACCTGCATGGAGGGACTGGACATTCAGACACCTGCTAGGGGACATTTCCATGACCATGGGGATGGCTGAGACATGCTGCCAGAAGCCAAAGGGCACTCATATTGACTAGGGTTCGTCCCCAAGGGTTGGCACAGAGGGGGATGCAATAAAGTTATATAGAGCCTCCGTTTACATGGATTTGTTCAGTGCAAAACAGCTGGAAACACCTGCCAAAAAGGAGGCCGGTGCTGACTCACTGCTCTTCTCTCTTAATTTTGATGTCTGTGTTAAGTCTCTTTTGTCAGAGGACGTGTATGCAGTGGAGGCAGAGAAGCTGGTGCCTGAATGGTGCATTGCAGTAACATGATAACACCAGCCTCTTATACATGTTGGTGCAAACAGTGATAAATGCTGCATTCAGAGCTGAGCAATCCTGGGGCCTTGCCCTGCTACTGACTCATTGCATGCCCTTGGGCACATCACTTAGAGACAGATCTTCAAAGGTGTTTGAGTCACCCGCTCTTGCTGGCTTTGGCAGGTGTTAGGTCTTTAAATGACCTCAAAAAGCTGGCTTCTGCGCTTTCTGAGCTTCAGTGCCCCTGTGTATAAAATGCAGATCAGAGCACCCTCGTGGTGGGTTTTTAGAGTTCGCTACATTTTGGGCAGTGCTTTGAACATGTGATTGCCATAGATAGGGTATGATGAATTATTTCTTTAGCTCTCAAGGGCTTTCCAGCTCCTGAACAGCTGCTTAGAGATTGGAGGCTTTGGGGAGAGAGGTCTTGTCTGCATTAGTCTCGGCTGCTGTAGTGACACCAGTCCGGGGATGCTGGCATAGCTGTGTCACCTCCATGAGTGACCAGAGCTCTCAGATGTCAACATTGCTCTGTCCACAGTGGTGGTTTTGCTGCTATAACCACATCAACTATGGGGGGAAAGGGATATTTTCACACTTGTAGCCAACCTATGTACACAGGCAGAGCTTGGTAGCATAGGCCTGGTCAGGGACATGATGAGCCAGCACTAATACACATTCATTCTTAATGCACAGTGACTTTTTTTTTCTTTCCTTCAAATGCAGCCTCATGACATCAGAGCGCAGGTGAGTAGCGTTTGCATTATACCTGGGAGAACTTTCCTGGGATCTTCTTCTGCTTCAGATAGTACCGGCTGCTTTAATGTAACCTGGCGGGGAGCTTTGCTGTGAGCAATCCAGTGAGCTGGGTGCTAAAGAAAAGGGGATATCCAGAATTTGGCCCAGTTTTACCTCCCTTGGGAAGCAGCTTTCCCCGTGCAAACGTCCCCTTTGGCTGGCTCACTGGAGGGCCCTGTATGAATTAGATCATAGAAAATGAGGGTGTGAAGGGAGCTCAGGAGGTCATGTCTAGTCCAACCCCTACTCCAAGCAGGACCAGCCCCAGCGACATCATCTTTGTCAAGCCAGGTCTTCAAAACCTCCAAGGATGGAGAGTCCACCACCTCTCTGGGTAACCTGTCCCAGTGCCTAGTCAGAAAGTGTTTCCTAATATCCAACCTAAACCTCCCTTGCTGCTACTTGAGACCATTGCCCCTTATTTTGGTCTTGGGTTTTTGGGGCCTGGGAAGTGGCAAGAGAGAGCAGGGAAAGTGTGAGGGGAAGGAGATAAAATCAATGCCCCCTGAGTCAGCGTGGTGCAAGGTCCTTCTGCCCCTCTTGCAAGCTTTACATGCGTGTCCACCGCACAGTTAAAGTCCCCCCATTTTATGTTGGGGTTTCATTTCTGGACACTTGCACACCCTCTTCATTATCAGCACCACCAAGGCCCAGGCTAAGGGAATGACTTCCCTCCTCTAGACACCAGGGCTTGCTCCTTAAGACCCTAAATGAGGCAGCAGCAGCCCAGATGTGCCTAGTAGGACATCCTAAAGGAAAGTGTGAAGAACAGGCCTTGAATCATAAAAGGCAACTGGTTCTTGTTCCTCTAGGCTAAAGGAAGCCACCTTTTTAAGTGCTGAAGCATTCAGTCAAAATGAGAACACATGCCATCTCGGAAATAAAAAAATCCCCTAAAATTCCTGTTTGATCAGGGAGTCGAGACCCAGCACTCATCTACGTATCAGTGCATGGCTGCATTTCTGCAATAATCTTTTAGTTGCCAAAATCTTTCAGTCGCCAGTGCGTTCATCTTGCTCACTAGGTAGCGCAGTTATTTGAGAACATGGCCCTGAACTACCGCTTTGACGTGACTGTTGGCTCTCCTTTTGAATGTGAATGCTAATCCCTGGCTAAATTAGCCTGTGGTTCTTTGCTTGAGTGGTTTCATTCAGCCTAATGACAGGATTTTTAGAAGGTAACTCTCTCCCTTTCTAGATCTTAATCCTTAAAATCCTAGGTACATACCCATTTCTTATCCCTCATGTTAGGAATAATTCCAAGATAAGACTGCTAAGACTAAGAAAGCAAGAGCCCTCCGTGAATTATGCAGTGACATGTCATTCAGAAAAAAAACAGCTGATTTGAGAGCCAGCCTCAGCTTTAAAACGTGGATTGAAAGGCTCATAGAAAGCTGCGGCAGCGAGCTGAAGGTTGGCGTGCAGTTAAATGTAATCTGATTCCTAGATGTGCTGCAACCCATGGTGCTAATAGACGGATCCACACCATGCTGGGTGGCTTACGTTGCATGGTAGACTAGTGTTTGTCATGTCTATGGTAAAGGGGAGAAGATAGTGAAGGGAAACTCAGCTCCTCGGGCATCCTGAGGATGAGACCTCATCAGCAAGTGTCATCGTCTCCCCCAAAATTGGGGGTCCCCTTATAGCAACAGATTGCAGGCCATAATGAGAGACTGTTCCAGCCATGGTGCTAGGAACAGCCAACTCCATTGGAGTCGGGCCCTCCCAATGTAGCTAGGAAAAAAAGGCATTTTAGTTCTTTCCCTTATGAACTGCTGGGGCTTCCAGTCACAGATCTCAATCAATGTTGAGGATTGCGAGGATACCAAAGATGTCAAGGAGCACTGGAGCATCAAGACGAGCCATCACAGGAACTCCTGCTCCAGCGACCAGTCTGAGCACCCCTTGCTACGGCGCAAAAGCATGCAGTGGGCCCGCCGGCTGAGCAGGAAAGGAAACAAGCACACGAGCAAGACAGCCGAGTGGATCAGCCAGCAGAGACTGAGTCTGTACAGGAGGTCGGAAAGGCAGGAGCTTTCGGAGCTCGTCAAAAACCGGATGAAACACCTGGGTTTGCCCACCACGGGGTACGGTGAGTAGGTTTGGGTTTTGCTTTATGGTCTCTCCAGCAGCGCATCCCATTTGCAAGCCGATCACGAGTTAGCACCCAGCCTAATCGAACACAACATGTCCAGGGCATAAATATCCTGAAGCGCAGTCTCACCTTCCAGCTGGTTTGTAGTTCTGCATAGTGCATTTGCACTCAGCTGCCCTGTCAACCAGCTCTCCTCTTGGTCCTGCAGAATCGAGGCTATAAGGGGCATGTGCTTAGCCACTGGCCTCGTTTCTGCGGTCTCAAATAACTGTGGATGCCCATGTCATTCATTTCACCTGCAATAACTGTGCGTGTCCCTGGTCTGCAGGTCCAGGTGGGGGGGCACAGACACCTAAATGACCCATTCTCTATCCCTGCAGAAGCGATGACTAGCTAAGGACATCTCTCAACTTTTTGGACAATAATAATCCACTAATCCCTTGGTTATGATGAAGTCTTTGGCCCCCAGCTCTCTCGTGTGTTTGTTTTTCTTTTCTTCCTTTCTTTTAGCCATCCTGTGCTGCTGCTGCTGCGTGTTTGCCTCCATGCTAGAAAAGCTTGTCCTCTTCATCCCTAGGCGATGGCTTCCTGCATACACTCAAAGTAGCAGCTAGGCTCATATAGGATGACACAAGCCATAAGCACCATCTTGTACACTGAGGAATTGTGCAACGGGGGTGACCCTAACAAGACACAGGGCGGGGGTTGGTTTCCTAGTTGCTAAGAAGGTTTCTGAGGTTTGTTTCTTGCAGCCTTTCTGGCTATGAACGGGAGGGAAGAAATAGATGCAACACAGCGAAGTGTTTGGATTTGGGATGGACGTAACCATTTGCACAGTTGGTTCCACAAAATGGATCAAGGAAGAAGGTACAATGGGTTTCAAATCAGAGGTGTCCTGGTAGGATCTAAGCTTGTTCTCACAGGCATTTAAGGGACTCAGTGGTTGTGCAGGCAGGCATGGGATCGTGGAGCATCTTTCTCTTCTGTTCCCTGCTTCTGAGCAGGGATCCAGTGGCACGGTGATGTTTTGAGAAGTATATCGGGGGTGGCTCTAAGTCCTGGTCCCACACATCATGTAGTCAGGCATGGTCTGAGCCTGTTGTAGAGTCACAGACGGTAAAGTCGGAGTGATGATGTTGCACCAGTGATGACTGTTGTTGTCTTCTGAATTGAAGTGTTGGTAGATACACGATGAGAGGACACTAATTCTGCTTGACCATATAATGACACTGTTCGGAGCAAACACAGTGGCTGTGGAGATGGTAATTGCATGGTGCCTTGTCATTGTAACCAAAGCTGCATCTAGGGTCTAACTACATAGCGGGGACTGCGCTGAGTTTTTTAAATGCTTAAAAGACCTCACCATGGGTCATTTGTCTGTGCGCCTTTTTTTGTATGTAAGGAACAGTTGCATGCCAGCTGAAAGTCTGCAGTTAGAATGGTGAACAGCGTGTGTGTTTGTGTCTCGTGTACTGCCATTTCCATGTGTCCTCCACAGCCCAGAGTTAGGACTTCTTCTCAGTCTGCTGCCCCTGCTTTAAAAGTCCCATGCATTTCTGCTTCTTGTTCAGCTGTGTTTCCAGCCCTGGCTCACAGCCTGGACCCTAGATGTTGGCGTTTCCTCCTCTTAATATGCAAAAGAAGGACTCATTTCTTTGTAGGTAACCACCAGGGCTGGGCAAGTGCTTTGGGATGCTGAAGTCTTAAAGGCAGGTACAGAAATTATAAGAATTTAATATAACGATACCCTGGGATATTATATGAGGGGCAGTGAGAGCATCTGTTCAGTAGTCAGGGCTTGTGATAGAGATAATATCTTTTATTAGACCAATAAGATTTTTGCAAAAAAAATTTAAGCTTTTGGGTTTCTTTAATTTCAGTTAAAGACATGTTTTTGCAAAAATCTTGTTGGTCTAATAAAAGATATCATCTCTACTACAAGCCCTGATTGCTTTTTCCTCTAGACCAATATGGCTACCACCTGGATACCTGACGTCTGTTAAGTAGTGGAAGAAGTGAGTCAAAGATCACATATTTTCTCTCCCTTTAACATTAGACAAATGGAAAAAAATCTGTGCCTTAATCTGTGCCTACAAATGGGCAAAAGCTGCTAAAGACCTTGAGATACAGACCATCAAAGAGACAGGCATGTGGATTCAGGTTGCCCAGAGATAGGGTTTGTTTGCACAGCCACCTTTTCAGAAGGTTTCTAGGCTCCTTTGCGGGCGAAGTTTCAAGACCTGCTGCCCCAGTCACGTACAGTCCTCTATCATTTGCTGGACATCCAGTCTGAAGGACAGGTAAAAGTCCAGGTGGGTGAACTGGCTAGGAAAGCTAGACCCCATCACAGCAGGCCCCGTGTGTCCTAGCAGGTCAAGGAGCAATGCTGGATCCAAGAGCTGAGACAAAATCCAAATAATTGCATGAGAGAGTTTATGATGGGGCCAAACCTCACACGAGGGACGTCCTGTCTAACCATGATGCTGCAGGCTGGGGTATGCTGGCTAGAGAGCCTGCCTTGGATTTAGGGCAGGTTGAGCTTGAACACCACAAGTGTCGTGGCTTGAGAAGAGGGGGAAGCTGTTTAAAGCCAGGTATAAAGAGGAGGAAATGTGCCATGAAATCTGAAGCTCCTTTGGACCCCGTTGCATTTGGTGTGGTGCTCTGAATACATCGTCACAGCATCCCACCTGTTGTTGTCCAAAAACCCATGACGTCGTGGACAGAACACATTAGTCTGCCTTCTTTCCCCCCTTTCTTTATCTTTTGCCCATTTTATCACTGAAGCTCAGGAGCTTGTCTCTAATATTTGCCAAATCACTGCTTGCTGATCTCTCTCTTTCTTTCTCTCTCTCTCTTTCTCTCTCTTTGTTTATGTCTGTACCTTTTTTCTGTATGTTCTGTAGAGGATGTAGCAAATTTAACAGCCAGTGATGTGATGAATCGGGTAAACCTTGGATATTTGCAAGGTAATTCTTTTCCCCGGGGAGTCAAGCCTGACTCGCTGCACACAGCATAACAAGATCATGCCAACTAAAACTGCCTCTTGCCAGTTTTCACCTTAGACTGATGCAAACCTTTAAAGCGCTCGCTTGCAGGACGGGGGTGAGAGAAAGGCCGCTCTGTATTACGTCCCAAATGGAAGAGCCAATAAAAGTCAGAGACAGAAAACTCGGCGACTGTTTGCTAGCTCAAAGTATCCAGAGCAATTCCATCTGCAAAATGTCACTTTAGAAATCCCTCTTTCCAAAGTGAGCAATTGCACATTAGAATTGATTTCCATTTGTGGAAACCAATGGGAATTGGAGAGTTTCGGGTTGGGGGGAGGGTTTGGCAAAATGAAGTAGGCTTGAGATAAATTGTGGCCTCCATGAGCTAGGAAATATGGGCTTTGGTGCAGGATTGAATGAGTCCCAGACTGGTTTGCTCAGCAAATAGCAGAAAGATAGAGCCCAACAGAACCTCTGTTTTATGGTTATCGAGCCTTTGGGGGGCCTTTAAATCATTCACACAATCAAAATACAAATATTTTCTCATCTCAGATAAGGACAGACTGATCAAAGTCTGGTGGCCAGCTACCATTTTTAAAGGTCTTGTTAATGCTAGGCTTTCCTGGCTGTTTCATCTGAAAACTCCTCTCGGGGAGACCCTTAACATTTAACCCAACCATTTATGCTTTCTTAATGGTTCCCCCCAAAGTGATCAGTGCAGGCCCAACTTGAGTCGAAGCAGCAACCTTTGCTTCATCAGTTATAACCCACATTTTACCTAGTTCATTTGGTGTCCAAGGGAACAGTTCCCTTCCAACGCTGCTGCATTGATTTGCAGTTACCCCCTACGTCCAAACCTCTGAGTGGGAATTGAATTTCATGCTAGATTAAGCTTTAACTCAGTGGGCGATACCAGCCTGCTGTCCTGTGTCACTCTTGCATACATAAGCTGCATGTAAAAATATCCTAGCATTTAAGTGAAGATAAATGCAGGAAGGGATGTTAACTATGGATCAGTGTCATCAAAATTCATAATGTTGATGGCTAAAGCAAAACCAAAATATAACCCATGTTTTTTTGTAGTACTGGTCTGCCAATGCCAAAACCTTTTTTAACCAAATAACCCAAAGATGAGCAAAGATTATAAACCACTTGCGAATCTCCGGCCTTTCCTAGCCCACACTTAAGGTGAAAAGTTGGCATTTTTCTATTAATTGTGTGCTTCGTCAGAGAAATAGCCCCAAATGTGATTTCATGGAAGTCCCACTCAAATACAGTATATTGCCAGCTAGTCAGCCCATGCTTGGGAAGTCCATGCCTCAGTGAGTTTCCTTTGATTTATTCTCCTGTAAAAATCATGTTGCCGCAGTCCAGAATGTCAGAGCAGGAAAAATGCATCCTAACAACTGGATAAATCGGGAGAAGCCAAACATATGCACAGAGCAAATCTGGTTGTTCGGTCAATTTGAATTCTGGATGGATATATCTACAAGCTCAGGTTCTTTTTTATTAGCAGGCTCTGTTTCTGTTTGGCCACTCTAAATTGGTCTCGTGAGAAAGCAAAGATGAGAGTAGCAGAGGCCCTGACCTGTAGGAGACAATATGGCAATATACTCGGTGGGTTAGCAATGCTTTGATCTAATGCATGGTTTTGCTAGGAAAAGCTGCTTCCATGGAGCAGGAAAGCCTGCCTCAACCAGAGGCCTCTTATCCCCTCATTTGGCCAGCTGCACATTTGGAACAACCTTAGCTATAAGAGGTTTTCGAGGTCTCTAGCTGCACACTCAGTCCATTTCCATTCTTCTGCCCTTCTTCACTGTAAGGCTAAACATTGGGATGTGACTGGTACGAGAGCATCATCTAAAACCGACCTGTGCCACGGCTCTGAGTACTGATTGGTGGCTCAACCTTTTGGTATTCTGGATGTAGGTTAG